CCCAGTTCCCGCGGCGACCCCCGAGGGGCGCAGGCGCCCGCTGCCCTCCGGCGCTTGGCGAGGGACATCGAGGCCCCTCGAGCCCCCCCCAGTGCCTGGGGGCCGCGCAGGGTTTCACGCAAGCCTTGTCTGAACTAAGAAAATAGCGATAATGCTGTTCCTGCCGTAGGGTGTAACGCGCCCGCGGGACTGTCTTGTGCAAAGCAGGGGGGCGAGGGACTGACTCCGGGGGGAGTTTCTGTGCAGCGTCTGCGCCACGTCCAGTAAAGCTCCCGCTTGTTCTCCTCCCTGCATTAGCGTCCTTAATCCTGCATCAAGGTGAACGTTATCTAGCGCGCCCTGGCTGGAAGCGATAAGAGGCGCGGATGTCCTTTCATCGCATTTTTGTCAAGTAACAAGGGACAGTGACCTTAATTGTTTAGTACCGTCTCCAGGTTAGATAGAAGTACGCTGTTTGGCCTTGTTTATCAGAAACATCGCTGGGATAGTGAGTAAACCCTCCTGTGAATTTCCTTCCTCCCTTCCATTGGCATTGGGGAACTTAGGCCTGCCACCGTCATAGCAGTGCATGTTGAAAAATAACTTTATAGAAGGATGAAGGCCTTAAATAGAGTAAAATTCCTTAAGTAAGGCCTTAAATTCCACTGTTTGCATCTGTCCTCTACCCACCTGACTTTAGAGTTCATGCACATGTGGGAGACTTACGGTACCCAAAAAACTTTGGTGCAGATGTTTGGGAGTCCTTTGTGAACAGGAAAATCTCATCTTTGTAAAACATATTACGTACTGTCATTTGAAATACCAAATATATTTTGCTGGAATCTGATTCTGGATGCCAACCAACTACTGAGCAGCAAAAAAGTGTGGATATTGGCATTTCTGTATTGGCAGAACTGTGGAGAATAGTAAAAGGAATCCCAGTATGGCTTCATCTCCAAGTACAGATTGAGCTGTCATTGTACTTTATATTAAACGTTTCCGTTGGCATCTACTGACAAATGATAGACTCCACCAAGAGATGGTCTTGCTAAGTATAGTCGACGCTGGACTCTGCATACATCAATACCGGTTTGGTCTTCGTAACATCGCTTCTGTCAGCAACGGGCAGTTGGGATGAGCTTATTTAGCCAGTTAGGGTTTACGGGGGCTCTGCAGGTGGTACTGTAGCAAGGCTGTTCACCAGCACCTGTAACACATGCAGCTCTCTTCCTCTTGCTGGGGAGGATAACAGTTGGAATTTCTCTTTATCTGCTTATTTTCTCATTCTGCCATAGCCCCAAAGAAAAGGTTTCCACAACAGAAGTAGAAACTGTTTAAACCTTGGTATTTGCCTCAGTGTACTGCTCTGATAGATTTGCTTGTAAATATACCCAACCGAAATACCTTACTCTAAGAATCCACTGAAGGCCTAAGACACAGTACATATTTCCTGGCTGGTCCAGGATTTGTAATATGATGAAAAATGCGGAAAAAAACATACTGCAAAGCTGCTGGGTTCACTTCTGTAAATACGTGCGGAAGACTTTTTGCTTGAAGAACCTCTTGCTTATCAACTTTCCTCATGAGCAGTTCTAAAGTGCAACATCACTAAAGCTTGAAAACCACAAGCAGACGTGATGGGCTGAACCAGATCCTTCCTATGCTGAGATTTTCTAAAACCAATCGTTTTTAGTGTGGTCACAGTTCACATCAGCAAGCTAGAGCGGGAACTGCAGCAAAACCTTCAAAAGCAACTCCAGGATTTTGGTCACCACGGTTTGACACCTCTTGAGCAACGGAAAATCCACCTGAGAAAATCATGACCCTCCAAACAACCGAAGCTGCGCAGCCGCGCAGGCGACACGCGCAGATCCCCACCACCAGCTTTTACAAACGGTTTACGAGCCAACGCGAAAAAGGGACACGCACAGAGAGCGGCCTGCGGCACCGT